CGTATTCTATACACATTCAATTATGGGAATATCTGAAAATTTGCAAACTTTGTGAATTTTTATCCAATATAAATTATGCATGAAACGAATTAGAAAAATTCTCAGTTATACTACTTGCTTAATAGTACATCCTTGAATTTTTTCAATAAGTTAGAAGTGGAAAAAAATACAAGCATATGATACTGCTTCAAATTCATTATTTCACCATTTGAAAACTTTTTTTCGAATGGTGATTATTATTCTAGAAAGCTATAAAAATTGTATTATGTACAGTATGTCAGGTAGTATACCCGTGAATTTTTTCAACTCTTGTAGAATCGGAAATAAAAATTGGAACAGTTCTCGATAGTTAACAAAATTTGAAAATCATGTTGCAATGCTCAAATGATAAAGAAAAGATTCGGAATACACTTCCTTAGCTGACCATCTTCAATCTTCTATTTTGCATAGAAATCCGCTGTCTATCGATAAGAGTTTTAGAAACTTTTAATTGAACAGAAATTAGTTGGCTGTAATAATCTCATTTAAACTTAACGCTGCATGCTACTTTCTCATGCATTCCCAATTTTTACCTAGTGATATCGCGGCTAGTTTTTAAGCGCTTTTACACAAGTTCAATCATGAAAAGTCTCAAATTCCTACGAAATCGACTATTTTTTACCAGACGCTAAACTATTAACGCCTTTTATATGAATAGTACGTATTTAAATTACGTACGAGCTCGTTACAAGCACAAGTAGTTTAATCGTCGCGAAATTCGTAAGTGATGGAACTGCAAGAAGACATAATAAGACTGGTGAAGTGCCGTAAATTTATTTTAAAAAGTTTATCGAAAGCTGACTTGCACAATCTCGAAACTGTTTCAAGAGATATGCTAAATGTCTAAATAGAACAAACACTTTTAATTAAGATTAATAAGAATCTCTTATAAAGTTAGAAATACATTGTACATAAAATGTTACGATCTATAGAAGCAATAAATCTTGTAACTATTGATAACTACTATTCTAATGAACGACGTCGTGTGAGATGATCGAATTATATTTTGGATACGAAGCAATAAAAGGAGAATGATCTATTTTGTAAGCTTGTCGTTTGATCGATGTACAAAACAAAGGCACTGCCATGACTTCAGAATCTACGTCAATTAAATACTACTATACTATATAAATTCCTATTTTTTTACAACTCTCGCGCGATCTTAAATTTTGTGTGAATTTAAATTTTTCACGTACATTTAGAAAATGAATGATATTGAAATTTTGATTTGAACATAAACGTCGATTATCTCGCAGATACAATATAACGTTTGAATAATAATAAAAAGTGCAATTTAATTATACGTTCGGGTATAATATATTTGACAACTAATTTATGTTTTTCGTGGCAAATGTTACATTGTACGGTGTAATTGATAGTACAAAATGTAAATGTGAAATTGATGGTACGCTTGAAGAATGAGAACGAATATTTAATTTAATGGATACAGGAATGTCGAAGATATTTTTCTTCACGTACAATATTAAAATATAAGCTGAATGTCTCAATCTCTGATTACTGGCTTATTTTTCTACAATTTTAAGATAACATATAAAATGATGGGAAAGTAAAATAACATAAAGTTAAGTGAGTTAAAATTGGAAAAGTGAAATTGGTACATTTATTTAATTAGTTGAATGCATATGGCTTTCAAATCGTATTATTTCTTCGTTTATTTAAAACAACTGTTTAGGTGAAA